GTGTGTGTGTGGTGTGTGTGTGTGTGTGTGTGTGTGTGTGTGTGTGTGTGTGTGTGTGTGTGTGTGTGTGTGTGTGTGTGTGTGTGTGTGTGTGTGTGTGTGTGGTGTGTGTGTGTGGTGTGTGTGTGTGTGTGTGTGTGTGTGTGTGTGTGTGTGTGTGTGTGTGTGTGGTGTGTGTGTGTGTGTGTGTGTGTGTGTGTGTGTGTGTGTGTGTGTGTGTGTGTGGTGTGTGTGTGTGTGTGTGTGTGTGTGTGTGTGTGTGTGTGTGTGTGTGTGTGTGTGGTGTGTGTGTGTGTGTGTGTGTGTGTGTGTGTGTGTGTGTGTGTGTGTGTGTGTGTGTGTGTGTGTGTGTGTGTGTGTGGTGTGTGTGTGTGTGTGTGTGTGTGTGTGTGTGTGTGTGTGTGTGTTGTGTGTGTGTGTGTGTGTGTGTGTGTGTGTGTGTGTGTGTGTGTGTGTAGAGTAATTGTCTTCATACTTAGCAAAGTCGACGTCATTGTCTTTGCTAAGAAACGCTAATTGTATCCGAACGTCTGCGGTCCTTCTGGTGAGTATCGATCGCACAAGGATAGAAATTATTTTCATTAATTAATTTTTATTAAACGAAAATTTCCACCCAGGTGAGATTCAAACTCACGACCTTTAGGTTTAAAGGTGGTCTTACCACTGAGCCACAGAGGGGGTTAAAACTATATTAAATGTTGCTAATTTGATTATTGTCGAATGAAAATAAATACATATTATAATGTGACTATTTTTTTATTTTAGTAGGATAGTAGTCATGAAGTGTGTGCTAACATTAGGATATACCATTTAGAAAACCAATGGAAGACCTCTCCATTAGGAACAGTATTCTTTCTTTTAAGTTACCATCATCTGTCAAAAATTGTTGATCATCATATTGATTTTTTTTTGTTTACTGCTGTTTTAAAACGTTAACTGGACACATAACTAAATCACTTTCTTTTGGAACAGAAGCTTTTAGTATTTTTCCCTATCGTTACGTTATCGGTATGTTTGTTGTTTGTAGCTTAATGTTATTGGTTAGTTATGTTTTCTTTAAATGTCTTTCTAAACCTTTAGGCAGAGCGCCCACCAAACTGGCATGGCAAGTGGCAAGTAGCAAGTAGCACGCGTCTGGCATGTTACTTAAAATGTAACCAATGCAAACGAATGATTCAGCGCACACCAAAATGATAGTGACGTCATTCATTCTAATCATTCGTTTGCATTGGTTACATTTTAAGTAACATGCTAGACGCGTGCAACTTGCTACTTGCCACTTGCCATGCCAGTTTGGTGGACGCTCTCACTTAGAGAGAGGGGACGCTTTTATAATGTACAACACAATACTAAACATTTTAGTAGGAGTATTCTTAGTGCAACACTTTTTCTTTTTCAAGTCTTTTATTCATCGGACCTTCTGCATTACAGAAATCTGAAAACATGTACCAGCTTTTGCAAATCTCGTAAACGGATATCATATGGTTGGGGAATCACTTTGGCTTTAAAAAAATGTTTGCTATCTACAATATATTGTCTCAATGTCCTAAAAATAGAGTGACACTTTCAGGTGCTAGGCCATGTAGTCTATGGTACATTCGTTTAGCAAATTCCCAACTGTAAATAAATGCACGTGTTGATATTCGTCTTCTTATTCGTCAAGAGACTATTAAATATAATATATTGCCTTAAGCCAGACGGATTCTCATTTTACAGGTCCAAACTTGCCAGTCTGTTTAGATTTAAATTGTATTTTTAGCGTGTTGGTTTTTATATTAATATATTGGGTAATATATGTTATATTTATTGTTAAGTTATTTACTGGTCATGTTACTTTTTAAGTTTAGTTTAAGTGTTAAGTATTAAGTTTTATATATATATATATATATATATATATATATATATATATATATAGTCCCAAGATTCCTAAGAGGAACATAGGGCTTCCACAAAGTGTCTCCAGCGAACTCTATTTCTGGCTAGTGCTTTGATTTCAAGCCAGGATTTTCCCATTGTTCTCCCTTCGTCCAGTACTGTCCTTCTCCAAGTTCCCTTAGGTCTGCCTACTTTCCGTCGGCCTTGGGGATTCCAATCCAGTGCTGTCCTGGCAATGTCATTTGGCGGTCTACGGAGTGTGTGGCCCAGCCATCTCCATTTTCTTCGCCTTATTTGCTTTATGACATTTTCTTGGTTGCTTTGGTTCCATAAATTTTCATTGGAGATTCGGTTAGGCCAAAATATACGAAGGATTTTTCGTAACGCTCTATTAATGAAAACTTGTAATTGGTGTACTATGGGTGCTGATATCTTCCACGTTTCGCAGCCATACAGTAATACAGCTTTTACATTTGTGTTGAAGATTTTTAGTTTCGTTTTAGTTGGGTAAATCCTGGATTTCCATATGTTGTTAAGCATGTTGTAGGCGTTGCGAGCCTTATTTATTCTTTCATGTACATCACGCTCTGTACCCCCATTACAGTCAATTATGCTGCCCAGATATACAAATTCCGCTACTCTCTCAATTTTCTGGTCGTTGATCATAATAGGTTGGTTGTTTCTGGTACCAAATCGCATTTCTTTGGTTTTGTTGGTGTTTATTTCTAGACCAACCTTCTTTGATTCTTCTTGTACTTTATTTACTTGGAGTTGCATGTCCTGTTTTGTATGTGCTAGGAGGCATATATCATCAGCGTAATCTAGGTCTTCCAGTCTGTTTGTTAATCCCCAGTAAATTCCTCTATTAGAGTTTACCTTTGTTAGTACGGAGTCCAGTACAATGTTAAATAGTATAGGGGATAAAACACAGCCCTGCTTTACTCCGTTTAGCATAGCTATTGGGTCAGATGTTATGCCGTTGTGTAGGATTTTGCTTTCTGTGTCACTGTAGAGTTCTTTGATGAGATTTACTATTTTTTCTGGTATTCCTATTTCCTGCAGTGCTTTCCATATGGCCGTATGTGTGAGCGTGTCAAAAGCTCTCTTGAAGTCCACAAAGCACACAAAGAGAGGAGAGTTGAATTCCTGTGACTGTTCTACAATTATTCTTAGTGTGTTAATTTGGTCCACGCATGATCTGTTTGGTCTGAAACCGGCTTGTTCCTTCCTCAACATTGGTTCTACACTCTTTGTTAGTCGGTTGTTTATAATTATTGCTGTTAATTTATT